GAAACCCTGTACAGGGTCGCTATGGGTCGGAACCGACTCGACGGCACTTAACAACAACAACAAATGTGTGTGTGTGTGTGTGTGTGTGTATATGGGTATGTATATGTGTACGTGTGTAGATGTGGGTGTGTATATGCGTTTGTGTGGATGTTGGTATAAATGGATGTAGGTGTATATGCGTGTGTGGGTGTGGGGGGAATCGCCCCCACTGCGGGAAGAGGAAGCCCCCCTCCTCACTCGCAGCCCTAGCTGTCGGGGCGCAGTGTGGTGGGGGCGCGCGGGGTCACCACGTGAGGCCTCGTCCCTGCCCCCCGGGGCTGCGCGCGCAGGCCGTGCTGAGGTTTCTCCACGCTGGGTGGCGAAGCTGCGTCATGAGGCCTTGCCGGCTCGACGGAGGGGGCAATGGGTGCGGGTGGCGCGTCACTCTGGGACGCCGATCCAGGCTCCTTGGAACACCCCTCCTCCCATCCCGGGGTGGGGGTCCGGGTGGGGTCCTGCTGGGGGCAGGGGCTGGAGATCCCCCAATGCAGCCTTTAGAAAGCACAGCGGCCTGGGTCGGGGATAGGCCCCTTGGCTGTAAACATCCGGGACTTTCTGCGGAGTGCGGGCCTCACTTTCACTCTGGAAACAGCTCAGCTCCAGGGGCTGGGGGGTTCTCAGGTCATTCAGGGGTTAGGCTGGCTGACTGTAGTTTAGAAACAAAGTGGGGGCTGCTCTCCTGTCTGAGGGGAGTCTCTGCCTTCCTAGGCCCACATCCCTACCCCCCCAAAAGGGAAAAACCCCATGTTCCAGGCTGGATTTCCACCTAGCAGGTCCCCAGAGGTTTTTTGTTTCTTTATATCTCAGACGTTTCTTTATAATCGATATGCATCCAGTTTTTTGTTGGTGGTTCTGACTCATAGCCTCCCTGTATAGGGTTTCCGAGGAGCGGCTGGTGCCTTTGAACCACTGACCTTGCGGTTAGCAGTCCAGTGCTTATCCTTCAGTGCCACACCAGAAGTAAAGTCATCCTTCTGTCTGCATCCTTTTCTAGCCGTTTTTCTAGTAACACATCCTAGCTTTACCTTGGAATCCCAGCTGTGGCTGGAACCGAGTATTAAAGTGAAAGGCAATCGTGGTGCCGAGAACAAGCCAACTGCTGCGGAGTTACTCTGACTCCTGTCAGCCCCACGCGGCCTTTTCCATGGCTGATTTTTCGGGAGAACGTTGCCAGGCCTTTCTTCCGAACCACTTGGGGGTGCACTGCCACTGTCTGCAACACCCAGGGCCTGGGGTGTAAAGAAGACCTTAGTAACTGCTTGGCTTCATTTTAGATTCTGTGGATCATAATTTCTGAGCACTAAAGAGAATTTGTGCTTTAGGTTTTCAAGTCACTACAACATTGATAAAAATAAAGTGGACTACAATGTGTTTTTGAAGAACCTCAGCGTAAATAATGACAAGAACCTTAGATATTTTTTGGGAAATCAAGGTAAGTGTTGTTTTGTTTTTTTCTAAAGTACTATGAAGTTTTCGATACTCTTTGGCCTGTTAATCCCTCTTCTAAAATTCTGTGCTAAGAAATTTCTCTGTACTAACCATGGTTGCTGCTGTAAGTTCCTCCAAGTCGGTTCTGACTCATAGCCACCCGTATAGGATTTCCAAGCCTTTAAATCTTCTAGGGAGCAGAAAGTCTCATCTTTCTCCAAGGAGTGGCTGGTGGACTTGAACCACGGACCTTGTGGGTCACAATCCAGTGCTTATCATATGGAACCACCAAGTTTCCTAACAGCCCTATTTATAAGAATAGCATAAATGTCTAATATTAGAAGGAGGAGCGTTGAGTTGGGTAGAGCCTCAGAGTGGGGCGCTCACAGTGGTTTCCACGAAGGGTTTGGGAGGACTTGAAAGTACTGATGTGATACCTGGAAATGACTGACGAGAGATGTTTCAGACCTTTTAGGGGCCTTTCAATGGCATGGGTGGTGGTCTGCCGTTTCTGTATTTTGAAAAAAAAAGATGTTGATAATGAATTTGCATGTCTTTGTTGTTAAGTGCTGTCGAGTCGGTTCTGAACTTTAGACATATACATATATGTGTGTGTATGTGTGTGGATCTGTGTGTGCGTGGGGGAATGTGGGTGTGTATATATAGACTGCAGTGAGCAGTCTAGGGCGTATGCTGTAACACCACACCATGACTCCATTCGTGTATTCCTTTAGTGATGGGTCAATCTTAATATAGAAGGGCAGAGAAGAGTAAGCTCAGGCTTTCTAGGAAGTCTGTTCTTTATGCTGGTAGCTTGGCGGTGTGCTGGGGAGTCAGTTCTGGCTCATAGTGACCCCGCGTAGGGTTTCCGAGGCTGTAGATCTTTGTGGGACCAGAAAGCCTCATCTTTCTCCCACGGAACGGTTGGTAGTTTCGAACTGCTGACCTTAAGGTTAGCACCCTGACTCGCAACCACGAAGCTACCAGAGCTCCTTTGTGGTCTACAGTGGAAGTGTTGACATTTAAGTCCAGATGCCATCTCAGTTCTCTGTTACTTCCCCGGTGCTTGCTGACCATTGGACCAGCCATGTGGCTGTGCTGAGCCAAATTCAGGGCAAGGCCAGGGAGGGGCAGTTTGTGGTTGAAGACAGATGACCTGGTCTGGAGAAGATGATCACCCAGATCATCAGATCCATGTTACTTAGTGGACATTCAAGATTGGGGTCCTGGCATTGTCTTGCGCCCACTCAGGGTCACATGATCATGAATCATTCCCTGCTGACCTGATAGTCAGAGCATACCAATCCTGATTAGTTTTAACCTGTGTTTGGGTGCGTATCCCTATCACGAGCCTTCCCTACTTGTCTAGTCCCGCCTGTAACAGTGACGGATTGATCTCCTAACAGGCATTGGTTGGTTTTTGTTTTAAGTTTGGGGAACCACTACAGGGTGGTCTTCCAAAGACTCTTGTCTGTGGTATTTGGTAAGTTTATGTGTAATGTAAGCCCCTGGACTACTAGGTCCTTCACTGGGTACAAAGCCAAATGAAACATCCCCTTCTCTTTATAAAGTGTGCGGTCTCTTCAAATACATTGTCGTTCTGCCGTCAAGTCAGTGTCGACCACCCCACAGCTACCCCGTGTTTGAATAGTTGTTGTTGGGAAGTGCCATTGAGTCAGCTCTGACTAATAGTGACCGTGTATAGGGTTTATGAGGAGCAGGCTGGTGAGTTTGAACAACTGACCATGTGCTTCAAACTGACCTTGCGGTCCAGTGCTTATCCTACAGCACCATACCAGGATTTCCTGTGTTTGAATAGAGCAGATAATAGTAATAATGGTGGTGGTGGTGTGCCGTGGAGTCGGTTCCGACCCATAGCGACCCTGCACAGGGTTTCCGAGGCTGTAAATCTTTATGGGAGCAGAAAGCCTCATCTTTCTCCCGCGGAACAGTTGGTAGTTTCCAACTGCTGACCTTGAGGTTAGCAGTCCGACTCGTAACCACTACGCTATCAGAAGCTCATTTCATGTTCTTTGCTCACATGCTATTTGGAGTGTTTTTGCTTTTTTAAACAGTTGAATTTAGAGACTTCTTCATAGATTCCAGATCTGAGGCCTTTGCCAAGTCTGTGCTTTGCATATGCTTTATCCCAGTCTGTAGCTTGTCTTTTCCTCTTCTTAATGCAGGGTAAACTTTCTAATTTTAGTGACATCTTTGAGTCTTTAGAGTTAGCATTACTATTGTACCACTTTCTGTAAACTGTAAGAACCTCGCTCTGAAGAATCCCCTTGTCAACAGCCCATCCTTGCTAAGGTTCTTATAGCTATTGCCTGACTGTATAAAGGAGCTTTACAAAGTTCATGGAGAAATGGAATTAAATGATGACAATATCTGAAGCCCTTAAGACACTAGGTT